GCGGCGCGGCCACGCAGACCATGCAGCAGCTGTCGGGCGGCCAAAAGACAATGGTCGCCCTCTGCCTCATCTTCGCCATCCAGCGGTGCGACCCGGCCGCCCCTCGACGCCGGGCACGGGCACGTCTCCCGCCCTCTCCCCGCACCTCCCCCGATCTCGCCCCCCGGCAAGGTGCGACCCGGCCCCCTTCTACATCTTCGACGAGATCGACGCCAACCTCGACGCGGCGCACCGCTCCTCGCTCGCGCAGGCACTCTCCCCTCCCCTACCCAAACGGTACCCGAACCCCTCCCCTACCCCCACGTACCCGAACCCCGCTCCTCGCTCGCGCAGATGATCGAGCGGCAGGCGTCGCGCGTCAACGAGGAGTCGGGCGACCCCGAGCCGACGCAGCGCGTCACGCTAGAAGCGCCACGCACTCGGGTCTCCCGACGAGCGCTCGAGAGGACACGCACTCCGCTGTGTTCGGCCGTCTTCGGCCGTCTCCCCCCTCGTCTTCACGCGGACCTCTGGTGGCCCCGCGCAATGCCGCCTCCCCCGCCGTGAGGTCGGCCCTCTTCACCCCCGCGCAGGTTCATCACCACCACCTTCCGGCCCGAGCTCATCCACACGGGCGACAAGTTCTACGGCGTCACGCACCGCAACAAGGCGTCGACCATCAAGTCGATCTCCAAGGCGGACGCGCTGCGCATCATCTCCGAGGACCAGAACCGGCAGCGGCAGCACGCGTGAGCCCCGGGGGGCGGCGGGGGAGGGGGGGAGGGGCGGGGGGGGCGGCGACCCGGGGCGGCTCGAGGACTCGTCCTCGGGCGGGTGGGTGGGTGGGGGGCATTGGCAACCCTCCGCTGCTCCCAGCCCTCCGCTGCTCCTAGGGAGTGCAGCGGAGGGACGCGGTCCTTGGCCAACCTCTGCCGGCTCCTTGGGGGGGGGGCGGAGTACTGCATGTCGCTACGTTGCCGCTTGGCGTGGGGAGAGGCTGCCGCGAGTCCGGGGGTCCGAGAGACGACCTGGGGGCGTGACGATCTCGCGGGTCGTACATGGTCCCCTGGAGGCCACTCCCGTGCCACTCGAAGGGTCTTGTGGGGAAATGACTACTACGTACGTATGCCGTGTCACAGCCGATGTGCGAGTGTGTGACAAAGGAGCGCATATACAACTGCAAAAGAAATCGTAAGCACTCCGCCGTGCGTGTACTTCAAAAATGCGGGTCTGCGTCTGCGTGGGCGGAGTGAGGCCGCGGGTCGTCGGCGAAGACCGAGCATTGACGTTACTACGTACCACCTTGACCTGACTGCACGACGCACTGGACCATCGCTCCAACAGCGATGGAGGAGCATCAGCCATTAGCCCGACACGTCGCCGTTGGCGTAACGGTAGTTTCCCCATCTTGTATGCTTTGCACATCGCGTCGATTCCTTTTCGCGTGAGCACCACCCTGAAGCCCGCCCAGCGATAAAATCAGTCTCGCCCATATTTCGTTCGCTCCACTGTCTCCCCCCGCCGCTCTCACCTTCAAACAAACCAGCCCGTTACGGCCTGTCTGCTGTGAGAGAGAGTTCTTTTGTTTAAATTCTCTTCCACCTGGTGGTGCGATGGGCTCCCTCCCGCGGGGAGAAGTCAGGGAGATGTCAGCGTGCTATCAGCCCTCTGCAGCATCAGGTGCACAGCGAGCACGCTGCGGCGCTCGCCCAGACGCCGCGAGGAGGAGCGCTCCTTCTCCACGCACCACGGGGCGCGCCTCCCTTGCACCTAGCCTTGCACCGGGCAGGGACGATGACCAAGATGAGCCCAGAGGTGGACATCGCCGTTCGCCCCGGCGCACACGTGGGCACAACGCCCCGGCGCTCACGGCGGCCTCCCGGATGGACAGTAACGCACACCGATCTGGTTCTTGCATGCGGGAACGTCTTCTCTCTCTCTCTCTCTCTCTCTCTCTCTCTCTCTCTCTCTCTCTCTCTCTCTCTCTCTCTCTCTCTCTCTCTCGCTCCCTCCCTCCGTCCCTCTGTCTCCCTCTCCCTCTCCCTCTAAGACATGTAGCATGCAGTTTGCACTCTTGGGTGGGATTCTGTTTCCCGCACCTGTACCTGTATTGTGCATTCTGTGGAGGGAGATGGAGGGGGTTAAAACACGCATATCGCGTTCAGCATGACGATGAGTAGCTCGCGATTGACGCTACACTGCAGGTGCACCCCATCGACGAACGCGCCCTCGGTGATAGCCCAGTCAGCAGACTTGAGCTGCCTTGGTAGCTGCATGAGCATCGTGAGCACGTCCACGACGCCCACACCCCCATCTCGTGCGCGAGACTCGTGGCGCCCTTGACGCCGAGAGGGAAGCCTTGGCGTGAGGTGGCGCTAAGACCTCCCCTGAGCCGTGGGGTGGTAGTGCGCCATCATGCGCGATGCGACGCGCCTCGCATCGCACTATCGAACACGCGCCGCATGAAAAGCAGGTTCGTGTCCGGATTGTAGTAGAGCTATTTTGCCGACTACCTACGATTGCGCTTGGCGCTGCAAAAGACCGTCGTCCTTATGCCTCGACCGCCATCAGCTCCGACCGCCCCGCCCACCAATCGTCTCCGACCCTGCGACTACCCTCACCTCTTCCCGCAGGGCACCACCTTCACCGACTCGCACTTCAACTTCGGTCAACATCTTGTCGCCGCCACCAGCCTGCTGCCCAGCATACTCGCAACCGATCGACCGATACCGTCAAGTACTAGTCCGCGCCACCAACCTACCCATCAAGATGCAGCCTCGACTCCTCCTGCTCGCCATCTCTTGCCGACCGACTTGCCGCTTCGGCCATTTCCTGCGCTACCTCCCCCCTTCCATCATCTCCGCCTTCGTAGACGACTTACGCCGCGAAATCCTCCACGCCTTTGAACGGACACTCGCCCTGCCGGCCGACACCGTCGCCTCCTCCCCTCCCGAGATGGCCTCCCACTTCCAATTCTTCCAGGCGCTATCTGCCGGCGGCATCGGATTCGACGACCCCGCCCGCGTCTCGCCCGCCGCCTACCTCGCCTCGATGGCCTCCACGCTACCCATCCACAGGCGAGACCCAGCCGTCGCCACCTTCGTCAAGGACCCATCGAGCGAGGCGAGGATGAACGGCAGCGGCGTGGATCGTTGCGGCTCTGTGGGAAGATCGGAATCATTGAGCGCGTCGGAGAGGTGGAAGCGGGCGGCGATGATGGTGTCGCCGGGCGAGGACGGCGGCCTTGGATCGTGTCGCCACCCCTCCCCGGGAGGTCGGGCCCGCTCTCCCTGGTCGACGAATCGCGCCCGCACCCGCGGCCTCTCTATCGTCCTCGGTTCACCCCCCCTCTCCGCCGGCTCCTCTTCAGGCCCGGGGAGGCGTGGCACCCCCTGTCGAAGATCACGAGCGCGTTGGACTTTTCACTCCGGACAAAGACCGCTGCACAGCGGACGGTATGGCTATGGGCCGTGCAGCGGTCATAGCGGCGAGGCGCGGGACCGTCTGTGGCGAAGTGGGCCGCGTCCCCGGATTTCCGTCAACTCAGCCTCCACACCCTCGATACACTTCTTTCGGCGGCGCGCCATCGACTCCCCCACGCCCCACGCGCCACGCGGGCAGAGGTTGCACCCGAAGCTCCGTTGGACTTGGAGCTCAGTCGCGCTCCCAATACGTGCATCACTTTTGTGACAGGTCTCAGACTTTGAGCGGCCTTATCTCGGTAACTATTGATGGTCCACCTGAAAACTCTTCGGATTTGGAACGGGCGCCCATGCACGTAAATTGGGAGCGCGACTGAGCTTGTGGACGTTTTCAAGATTACAGAGTGAATTGGAACTAGCCACACCTGCTAGAGCTCGTCTGCGGTAGTGGTCGAGGCAAAAGCAATACTCGAGTACGGAACGCTCTACTAACGTGCGCACAGGGACGTCGGCGCCACCTACATCCCGGCGCGGCGCGCGCACGCTCGGGCGCGCGAGGTATCGCCAAACACGTCCTACGGCTGCACTACAGGCTGCTGGCGCGACTCGGCGGGGCGCCGCCGCACGAGGCGTGCCACCGCTATGCGGCGGCGGAGGAGCTGCCACCGCCGCTGGAGCGGCCCCGCGTCGCACGGCACCGCTCCCATGCTGCACAGCGCGAGGCGGCGGCTCACGGTGCGGTGCGCCGGAGCCGGGTAGAGCGGCACCGCCACCGTGTCGAAGAGCTTGTACGGCGGCTGCAGCAGCACCTGCGGCGTCTGCTGGAAAAAGTTGCGGAACGGAACGCCGCCGCAGGTAGGGTCCTGCTCGTGGACCATGGCGATCGCGATGCGTCGGTCCATCGCCGCTTGCACGAGGCGCGCGACGGCGCCGCCGGCGTCCAGGAAGGTCTTATCGTTCAGGTAGAGCAGGCACACTACGTGCCCGGAGAGCGGGGCCGCGTTGACTCCCTCGAGCGCCTCCTCCGCATCGCGGATCGTTACCGTCTCGGCGCTGGCGGTAGAGCCGCGCCCCTCCCTCGCCGCCGTATTGAGCTCCCTTGCAATGCCGACGGCGTCCTCGTTGTCGCGGCACACGAGGATGGTGACGGGGCCGCTGAAGGCAACGGGGCCCGCCTGGCGAGGGACCATCACTCCTCCAGCAAGCTCGGCCGGGCGGCTCGCATAGTAAGGAGAGTGCAACAGCATGCGAAGCGCGACCGCCTTGAGCGACTCGAGCTGAAAGGCGTTCACCCGCACCCACACAATCGGCGTCGTCGCCTCAAACACGCGCGCGAGCATCTCGTCCGGCCCGCTGTAGGAGGGGTGGCCAGGCGGGGCGACCTCGACGCAGTGCTCGCGGCACTCTGCCTTCAGCGCCTCGATCGAGGCGCCGCCCTTGTCGACGTCAGCCTCCTGGATCGGGATGAAGGGCCGGTTCGAGCCTAGCGCAGCGTACAGCTCGCGGCGACAGTTGAAGCTCTTGAAGTATCCCGCGCTGAGGAAGACGAGAAAGGTCGTCGCGTCTCTGACCGACTCCTCGAGCCTGCCCACGTCCTCGAGGTTGTCGACGTCGAGCCAGATCCGGACGCCGGGGAGAAGAAGCTGGAGCTGCCTCACGACGGTGTGCGTCTGGTCCTGGCCGGTCCCCCAGCAGTGCGAGATGAAGCCGTGGAAGTGGCACTCGGGGGACAGCTCGAGGACTGGGGGGCGGCCGGAGGAGGAGAGGCGGATGGTGGGCATGCGGACGGCGCTGACTGTCTTGAAGAGGACGACGAGCAGCGACGCGGCCAGCATTGCGGCGGTGAGCGCGATCACAAACTCACTCGCTCCGCGCGCACTCTCGAAGCCGACGAGGGCCTTGCACATGTCCTCGTAGGCGGCGCTCTCGCACAGCTGAATCACCATGCCGGAGGTGAAGCAGCAGGCGAGCAACAGATTGGCGGTGCACGCGAGGTAGAGGTCGTCGTCGCGCTTGAAGGGCCGGGCGAGGGCGAGGGCGGCGAGGTAGAGGGCCGAGACGACAGAGGCGACGAGGAGGCGGAGCAGCTTGCTCGAGCCGTCGTCTGTCTGAATGAAGAGCACCAGTGAAGCAAGGAAGAGTTTGCGGCCCAGATCGACGACCTCCCAGAAGAGAAAGCGCGGGTCGTAGTCGCGCCAGAGGAAGCGGCTGGCTCGGGCCGTGGCCCTGACTCGCTGCGCCTGCACCTCGGAGCGGATCGAAAGCAGGAGCGCCAGGAAGGCTAGCGGCACGAGCACCGGCCAGAGGACAAAGAAGGCCCAGAAGTACGCGTCGAGGCCGCTGTACTCGTCGTCGTCGGCGCTGCAGAGCACGTCGAGGTCGGCCACGAGGTAGGAGCGCCTGTCCCCGGTCAAGTCGTCGACATTAAACGACTCGCACTGCCGCGCCTTGAAGATGGAGCGGGAGACCGAGGGCAGCACGAGGTAGGCAACGAGGATGGCCCAGTAGAGGAGGCGACGCAGCGTAGCGCGCACAAGGTCGCGCTGGAGGGCGTCGGCGCGACCAGACAGAAGCCACTCCGCGAGGGCGCAGCAGGCGAGGGCGGCGCCTCCGAGCATGATGGAGAAGATCGGCCACAAGCCTGCGAGCAGGAGCCGGTCTCCCATCGAGCCGATGCAGGCATCGGGATAGGTGAGGCCAAGCAGGTCGAGGCTGATCGCGTCCATGAAGTCGGTCCAGCGCGTGAAGTCCTCGTGGAGGCGGACGCCGTAGACGGGGCCGAGCGTCGCGGCGATCTGGTAGAAGCTGACCAGGATCTTGAACTTGGGCTGGAAGCCGACCTAAGGCAAATGATGGGAAAGGTGTCTCGCCACACGCAATATGTGAGGCAGCGACGGGCTACTCCCATTCTATTATCGGCAGAAAGTCCACGGCAGGAGAAGAGGCAGTGCAGGGTGACTGAGGGGGCTGCACGCCGACCTGCGACTCGCAGATGTCAAGACGTGCTCTGAGGCGGCCCCACGCCTCGGCGCGGGCGATGGCGCGGTACAAGACGAGCCCAGTGCCCGCCTGTAGGACTCGCGTGTCCCCGCAATACCTGCGTGTGCTTCTGCTGGGAGGTGCTCACCGCCGGGGCGGCCGTCTCCTCTGGAAACTCCTTCCAGTCGGCGTCGCCCTACGCGTCGAACGCGGGATGGGGTCACAGAGTGGGTCGGCAGACGCCGGCGCGCACCAGGCGCTCGCCGCCGTGGCGGCGGGCTTCTTCTCCTCCGGAAATTCCTTGATCGACGGCAGCGGCGCGCCGCCGGCCTCCGCCGGCTTGAGGGCCGTGGCGACCTCGGTGGCCGGCTTGAGCGCCGGGTTCTTGATGGCGCCGGTCTCGTCAACGCAGGCCTCCGCGCCAGACGTTGCCGCAGGGATGTCCTTCTTGAGGGCGCCCTTGACGGCGCCGGTGGGGGCCGTCGGTGGGCCGGTCGGGCGCGTAAACTTGGACCAGAAAACGGCGGGCGGGTGGGTGGCGAACATGGCCTTGGCCTTGTCCGAGTCGACCGCGCCCGCGTCGGGCGCCTTTTCCGCGGCCGGGTCCTTCTTGAGGACGTCCTCCGTGCCAGACTTTGCCACGGTGATGTCCTTGACGCCGCACGCCTGTGGGCGAGGGAAAGTACGCACAGGCTTTCAGAGACGGGAGAGGGATGATAACGATCCTGGCGAGCGCACGCGCACCTTCGCTCCGAGGAGCGAAGGCGACACCGACTCGGAGATGACGATCGTGATGCGGCCGTCGTCAGCCGGCACGATTCCGACCTTCGCGAAGGACTTCATCGGCGAAGACCCGCCCGCGACGTTGCCGCTGCTCGCGTCAATGCCGTCCTTGAGCGGGCTGGGCTCGCTCTCGGGCGGGATGCCGACGGCCTTGGCGCCGGCCGGATCGTCGACGGTGAACGCCTCGGGCACGGCGTCGAGCGAAACGCCCGCAAAGTGGACGCCGGCGAGCGAGCCGGCGGGCTCGCCCTCGGACGGGACGTTGCCAGTGCCGGTGTTGGCGGTGCAGGTGCCGCCGGTGCCGGTGTCGATGCCATCCTTGAGCGAGACGGGCTCGGAGGGGATGCCGACGGCGTTACCTCCGTCAGAGTCGACGACGGCCGTGTTGTCCGCAGCCAGAGACGCCTGTCAGCCACAGAACGCGAGAGGGTCGTCTTGCAGGGAAAGCGCAGCGTTGCGTGCGTTGCAGCGGGGCGCGTGTGCATACCCCCTCCCTCAGCCACTGCAAATTAACGCACACCTGCTTGTCAGCAAGCGGCGGCGGAGGAGAGAGCTTGAGCACGAGCTTGTCACCGGCGGCCGGCACGAACTCGAGTTTGAGCATGTTGATCGAATGAATTCCTGCAGAGAGTCAAGAAGCGGTTGAGGGTGGTGTCCCCGATGGGAGGTGCAGGCCAGCGCTCGAGTGGCCCTCGCGGCTGCGGACACAGAGTGGCACTCTCTAGACGCAGCAGAGATGCGAGCAGGGCGGGAACTTGACTCGGCAGGGTCAATCTCAGGTCAATCTCGGCTCGTAGCAGGAAAGGCAAGCGCCTACGGGATCGCGACCATGTGAAAGAGGGTGAAAAACTGATATTAAGATGTCTGGGGGTATATGGGGTATATGGGGGTACATGGGGGTACATGGGGGTACATGGGGGTATATGGCTATGATAAAATCTCGGGGAATCTCCCCTCGAAACGGTCTCGAGCCCGCCCGCCACCCACCCACCCAGCCAGGCGTTGCGGCTCCCCTCCCTCTTGTTCCTGCCGGGGTGGGGTTTTTCCCTGTTCCCTTTGGTTCTTTTTTTCTCGCGGTGTGTCCTTTTTCTTCTTTTCTGGGCCTGTGTCCCGGGTCCGTTGGCGGCTGTTCCCCCCCTCCCGTTCTTGTTTTCCCCCC